GGGGGGGGGGGTTTGTTTTCTTTGCTTTTTTAAGAAATGCCCAATTTGCTCAAGCGCTCGCAAGAAGGAAAAAAGAGAGAGGCTGCCAGCCCCAAGCCCCAAGCCCCCCCCCTCCTCATCCTGAAATTTGATTTAAATTGTTGGATTGAAAAAAAGGAGTGGGCTTTTCAGGTGCCAGAGGTCCCCAGCTTTGAAGAAAGGTGCCTCAACGATGAAGATCTCTCCACCTCTTTATGACACGGAGGGGAAAAAGCCACGGTTGAGCTTTTTCTTGCAGAAAAGAGAGGAAAAGCACTCGGAGAAGTGTAAATCCTGTGCTGTGCCTGGTCTTGGACAAAGGAGCAGCCTGGACGCAGCGCGGCAGCAGAGCTGGAGGCCAACTCAAGCTTGGCAGAGCTAAATATAAGGGCATGTGGTGATAGGACGAGGGGTGATGGCTTCAAACTGGAAGAGAGAAGGTTGAGATGAGATATTGGGAAGAAATTTTTCACTCTGAGGGTGGTGAGACCCTGATCCAGGATGCCCAGAGAAGCTGTGGCTGCCCCATCCCTGGAGGGGTTCAAGGCCAAGGTTGGAGGGGGCTTGGAGCAACCTGCTCTGGTGGGAGGTGTCCTTGTCCATGGCTGCGGGATGGGTCTGGATGGTCTTGAAGGTCCCTTCCAACCCAAACCATTCTATGGTTCTATGATTCACAACAACCCCAAGGCGTGGTACAGCGCTCGTCTTGAGATCTAAGTTGGGTTTCAACGAGCCAAAGCTTGTATCATAAAGGTCAATGTGGCCTCAAAGAGCCACAAGAAGCTCTTGGGCAACTTGGGTGTTGCCTGCTCAGTGACCCAGCGTTCAATATCCCCCGTGCCTCATCCAGCCAGCCCTCCATAAAGCCTCCTCCCTATCCCTCCTGCCACCGCAGCAATTAACGCCGGGAGCCAATCCGATTAGGGGAAGCTGAAATTTCAAAGTATTTTACACTTAAAACGACTTGGAATTTATTGATAACTGCAGTTCCGAGGGGAAAAATAGCTGAGCAAGCACCTTTCTGTAATGGGGTCAGAAGCCCTCATCGATTCAGCGGCGTCTCGGTCAGAAAGAAACGACTCAGAGCAAGGACCTCCCGTGTGGTTGGAGGGTTTTTTTTTTCAAGCTCTTAAAGCCTCCAAGAAGAAGCAAACTATGTCCAGGAGGATCAAGCAGCATCAGCTTTACCAAGACCTGAGGTTTCAGGTTGACACAGCGACAGCAATTCGAATTCCCCCTCTTTGGCAAGGTTTTGGAGACCAAGTCTACCATAGAAGAGCACTGGGTAGAAGCTCTAAAGCACCTGGGGTGCTCTGCTCCTCAGGTCTCTCATCCCTGGGTGATGGCTTCAACATGGCGCTCCTCCAGATCCAAACATGTCCAAGAACCAAAACCCCCCCGTGAGTGCATAATCCCACAAAGATGATCATTCCCATCTCATTCCCACTCTTAAAATTAAAATAAAATTAAAAATTAAATGAACAGTGGAAGATCTAGTGGAAGATGTCCCTGGCCACGGCAGGGGGGTTGGACTAGATGATCTTTGAAGGTCCCTCCCAACCCAAACCACAATTCAACAATTCTGTGCCCAATGAGCTATAGAATCTGCTCTTCTAGACTCATGTAGAAGATATGGAAGTGTGGTTCAGCCTAGTGCCCTGAGAGGAACGTGAACTGAAATTATTTTGTGACCATCACAGAAGAGATTTGCCCAAAACCCTTTGCTGTGACGCGGTGGATGTAGGACAACTGGACTCAAGCTACCGCATAGTTGTCTTGGGTTTTTTGGGGGGAACATGCCCGATTTTGGGGCCACAATTCAACAATTCTGTGCCCAATGAGCTATAGAATCTGCTCTTCTAGACTCATGTAGAAGATATGGAAGTGTGGTTCAGCCTAGTGCCCTGAGAGGAACGTGAACTGAAATTATTTTGTGACCATCACAGAAGAGATTTGCCCAAAAACCTTTGCTGTGATGCGCTGGATGCAGGACAACTGGACTCAAGCTACCGAATAGTCGTCTTGGATTTTTTGGGGGGAACATGCCCGATTTTGGGGCTCATCCATCAGCTTGACTCCCTGGGGAGGAGGAAGGGGAAGGGTGAGGACCAGCGCACGTTGGATTTCATGGTTTGGCTTTCCAAGAGGGGCCAACATTGGAGAAGCAGAACCTCTTTGCTAGCTAAGGATCCACATGTTGGCCATCCCTCCTGGCACGTTGCTTCTCCATTTAACAACGTGGTAATTTTAAGCCATTACCACGTTGCTTCTCCAGGTAACTCCTGCTTGCTGGGAAAAGCTGGATGTTTTTCTGGGAGAACTCCATCCCACTCCAAGCTTTTTCTACCAGCTCCAGCTGCTGCAGCAAGAAGCTCTGCTCCTTTGGTCTCCTGCCCTGATTTTTTCAAGCTGCCTGCATCTGTCAGGCCGGTTAGCGGAGAAGCATTAAACCTTTCAGGTTAATGATGTATTTTCCTAAAAATGCTCATTGGCACCGAAATTACTAGTGCAGAAACGAGCCCCAGCTCCCAAACGCTTTGATACTCCACTAACTATTCTCTACCTGCAGTTAAGAATGTTTTATGGCCGATGCTCCGCAATTTTGGGTCTGTCCCGTGCCGGCGTTCCTCAGCCCAGGTTATCTGAGGCTCAACACCAAGGAAGAACGTTTTTCTGGTGATTTAAACAATTATTTTTTTAAGTAAAATATTCCTGCAAAATAACACATGTGTAATAAACCAAATTGTCCTGCTCGGAGCCAGGGTATTTAAGAATCAAAGCAACGT